ACCACACTGGCCAATAGCCATGATGGTATTGATATTTTGAGGGGTGTAGATGGGGGAGACTTGTCAACCCAGAAACTGGACTTGGATCTGAGAGTTGTAGTTGAGTGGTGCCATTTTGTCATGTTCTTGATGAACTTTCATTAAAGGTCTGTCCATGGAAAAGTTTAATTCAATGATAAAGAAGTGTAGGAATTGGAAATGGAGATTTGGGCTGCATCTGCACTGCAGAAATAATGCAGTTTGTCACTGCTTTACCTGCCACAGCTCAATGTTGAGGAGATAAAGTTAAAGATGGCATTCTTTCACATCTTTCTAAACAACAGCATGTGTGGTATGCAGAAAAAGGATTTATTTCATATTTTTTTAACCATCTGTGTTAACCTTCACAGGAAGCAGTGTCAATTCCATGATTGTGTTTTAAAAAGGAAAATCATCCTTTTTTTTTCTCTGTCTTATCAAGAGCTTGTCAATATAATTTTGTATTTCCAGGAAGACTTTTTTTAAAAAATGAAAGTGCCCAATGATAAACATCCTCAAACAGAGTGTTCTTTAACAGGTAAACAATTTGTTTCATTGTCAATGCAGCACTAGTGGCAGCACTTTGAAGAAGTTAGCAATCATGTTACTAGGCAACTTTGCGTTGGCAATGAGAATGTGAAAATGAAAAATATTGACAGACGTCCTATAGGTAACATGTTGGATCATTGAAAATCCCTGAAGTAGCAGTTAGTGACCATGACTCATCTGATCTTTAAAGCATGATGGATGAACAATGCACAATCAAGTCACATCCTACAAACTTCTGTGTAGTTTTCTAAGTCTTAAAGTTGTTTAGAAATTTGTGTGACTCAATTCAAGGTACTAGTTTTGACCTACAAAGCCCTAAACAGCTTGGGTTCAGGTTATCTGAAATGCTGCTTCTCCCAAATGAGCTTCCTTGAAATCTGAATTCCTCAGTAGAGGCCCCATTCTGTGTTCCACATCCTACAAGGCTAGGTTGGTATGTACAAGTAACAGGGCTTCCTCTGTAGCAGTACCCTGACTGCCTGAAGAAGTTTGTCTGGCTCCAACCAAAGCATTGCCTTTGGTTCTTGAACATTGTTGTTGTATGCCTTCAACTTGTTTCTTATGGCATCCTTAAGGTGAATCTATAATGGAGTTTTCAGAGAGGGCTTGTCCTTGCCATCCTCTGAAGCTGAGAAAGTATGATTTTTCCAAGGTCACCCAGTGGGCTTACATGGCTGAGCTAGAATTTGAACCTTAATCTCCAGAATTGTAGTCTAATGCTCAAACCACTACACCACGCTGGCATTGTTCTGGCTGTTTTAACTGTCTGGTCTAAAGTTTTACTTGAGGATTGTCTTTGTTATAAAAGTTTTAATCTATGTCTTTATTTTTTGTTGTTTT